CAACATTACAAATATCAGTATTATATAGAAGTAAGATACCCATTCTAGATTGGTTTTCCAATCCCATTCATCTTGCCACCACAAAAAGCAATTGTTTTGGCACAATGCAGAGAACAGTACATGGGTGAGAACAAACAGCAGGAAAAGGGGTCTCCTATAACAGCTGTCACCAGAATATTCAAATTACAGTGTGGAAAGCTGTGAATTCAAAATCCTCCTCCCCCCCTTACCCCCAGCACCACACAATCATCTTGAATCAAGATTTTCAATACTTTTGTTTTTAAAGCAAATATGCTAGTAAGATTCAAAGTGATTCAAAGACATTTACAGGGCTGACACAGGATAACTCCATGGACTCTACCTCAGTTACTTGATTTAAGTCAAAAGTTGCTGGGGTCAGCTGGCAAAGCTGCAACAGGGAGGTGCATGCAAGTCCATCTCTCAGCACTGCTTGTCCAGCATGGCACCTTCTGCGAGCTACAAAAAGCAGCTAAGTATTAAAAAAGAAGCTAAGTATTATTCCTGTTCCTGAAACTGCTAGTACTAGTTCTAAAGTTCAAAACCAAAAGCAGGTTCTTCCTGGTTTTATAAAGCATCTGTTCCATCCCTTTGATAATTCCATTACCAGAATTATCCCTTGGATCATGGAAAGAAAAAGGTTCCGATAGGAAAAAGAAAAAAGAATCACGAAAAACCATGTGTTGTACCAACAATTCTTAGTAAATACAAGTAAATTACTGTCATTTAACATTTAAGCACGGAGGAAAAATGAGTTTTGACTATATGACATTTTTAGGGCAAAAGAGCTATTTAGGGGACTACAAACATTTGTCTTGATGCTTCCAAATTTCAGAGAGTCTCACAGCTTTACAGTTACTTAGCTGTGTAAAGAAAAATCAGAGGGGGGAGATGATGAATAAAAAGTTCTGATTTACTTGCTGCAGTGCAAAACTGCAACTTTATCAGTGCACACACATTACTTTTAATTGTTCAAAATGAATATATTAGCTAAATTAATCACACAATCAGTTTGGCTTTAGTGCCCAACACTTGATTAACTGCTTTAATCACAGTTTCTCAGCCCTGCCTGTTGACAATAAATAGCTAACTGTGCTATATCTGAATGGTGAATATGATATTCAACCACAGAACAACTAGCCTCAAGGTTTTAGGCTTTATGCTCCAGTGATTTATTTATTTTTTTACTACATTACTAACTTGTATGACCATTTGGGTTGCTTTATTTCAAAGAGGACACATGTTACATAAAGATGGGAATTAAACCCATTACATTCTAAAGATTTTCAGCATTCAAAATGGATACATTTTTGTACAAGTCTACTGTCTTCTTCTTAGGAGATACCATCCTTCTACAAAGGACATACTTCTTTTAAAAAATAATGATTATACATAAAAAGATGAGTTTTAGTCCTTAGCATTTTTCAGCTCCTCAGAAGCTGTGGGGATGAACTTCAATAAACATGCCTTAGAATCAACACTTCATATTTATTTCTAGCAGCTATAACCAGTCATATTCAGGAGGCCTGCAACTTAAAAATACGGTTTCACTACCATTTTAAGCCAATACAAGCCGGCACAGCTGCTGAAAGAAAGAGTCCCATCCTTCCCCACGTCCTTTCCTTGAATCAGCACAAGCCATTCATGAAGACCCATAGCAAACATGACCAGGATACTTACATAGTCTAAAAATCAACAGGTTGAGAAGGAACAGAGGAAAAGCTGATTTGATTTTAACATGACTAATCCCCCAACCACAGCTACAGGTTGGGCAGAAAAGAGATTCAGAGCAGCCCTGCAGAGAAGGACTTGGGAGTGTTGGTTGATGAAAAATGTAACTTGAGCTGGCAGTGTGAGCTCACAGCTCAAAAAGCTAACCGTATACTGGGCTGCATCAAAAGGAGCATGACCAGCAGGTGGAAAGAGGTGATCCTGCCCCTCTACTCTGCTCTCGTGAGACCTCACTTGGAGTTCTGCATACAGTTCTGGTGTCCTCAACATAAAAAGTACATGGAACTGTTGGAACAAGTCCAGAGGAGGGCCACGAGAATGATCAGGGGACTGGAGCACCTCCTATATGAAGATCGGCTGAGAAAGTTGGGGCTGTTCAGCCTGGAGAAGGCTGTGTGTAGACCTCATAGCAGCCTTCCAGTATCTGAAGGGGGCCTATAAGGATGCTGGGGAGGGACTCCTCATTAGGGACTGTAGTGATAGGACAAGCGGTAATGGGTTCAAACTTAAATAGGGGAAGTTTAGATTGGATATAAGGAAGAAGTTCTTTACTGTAAGGGTGGTGAGGCACTGGAATGGGTTGCCCAGAGAAATTGTGAATGCTTCATACCTGGTGGTGTTCAAGGCCAGGCTGGACAGAGCCTTGGGTGACATGGTTTAGTGTGAGGTGTCCCTGCCCATGGCAGGTGGGTTGGAACTAGATTATCTTAAAGTCCTTACCAACCCTAACTATTCTATGTTTCTAACCTAGTTCTCTACATGGCCACAAGAGTTGGCATGAACAAAGCAGTACGGAACACAGGGGACTGGACTGCTTGAACTCAGCAACTGGGAATTCATACTGTCTGGAACTGCTAATGAAACCACACCTACAAGGATGAAAACTGGAAGATGGAAGTATTTAGATAATCGAAATATTCCCTTTTCCAAGCCATGCATAAATGAAAAGAAATAACTCAAATTATCAGATCACATTTGACATTAACGACTCTCCCTTTGGCTCAACTGCCATATCACCTCAGGTTCGCTTTTAAGAGCAGGCAAGTGTGTTTTAATCTGTACCTTAAGACTCCTTCACTTTAAAGTTTGTATGTTAGAAACCCCCATTACTCCCATGACCACTCCAATCTCACAGCTTTTCTTGATTTCATGGTCTCCACATCTCCGGACCACAGGGATCCTCACTGACAAACTTACAAGATGCGTATCACTAAACTGAAATCATCCTGATGCACGCACAGGAATGTAATTCAGAGGAAATGTTACTGGCCCCAAATTCAACCTGCAAGATGGATTCCAAACTGTGGAGTAGCTACACTGCTAAAATGAGAGCAGTTATGATAAACTACAGGCTCCTAACACACCCTCATCACAAATGTGGCTTTCACACTTTTAGACCTTTCCCTTTACCTCATCAGTTATATTCATAATCCAGGGCATTATTTGTTCTGGAAAAGTATATTCATTGGTTCTAAATTTTAATTTAAATTAAACTGCATTTCAACTTAACATCTCTTTGATCTTTTGTTATGACAAAGTATGACAACCTTGTTTTAACCTCTTTACAACCACTCACTGCTTTAGATACCTCTATCATGTGCCATCTTGTTTGGATCAAGCAGCTCATTATGACAACTCAAACATCCCTCTCTAGACCTTTTCTAGCTCTGAACCTGCATTGACAGCACTGGAAGAAAAAAATACACTCCTGATTAATCAGTTTGAGTGTCTGCTTCAGGTAGGAAAAGGATCTCAACCATTCCATTAAAAATAAAGATGCTGGGAATTCATAGCAAGATCAGCCGAGTTCAAAAGTTTTGCTTAATTAAGCACAAGTCCTTGCAAAAGCTCAGAAACTTATATGGAACCTTTTAATTTCATTTTTTTCTTAAAAATTAACACTGCACACTTCTCAAATATCCAATACAATAAATGGTCACTTTGATGGAGCATTAGCACCTGTTTTTTTGGTTTGGTTTTTTAAATCAAACTCGCTGTTTCAAAATACTCTTTTCCCTTCTGCTGCCCTCACTAGGACTGAAACCAACTGGAACACATATGTGTTAAGGAACAGGAGAGCAGTAACATCTTTAATAAAATTTGCAAACTATTAGACACTGATGACAGCTTTAAGATCTCTAAACAGCAAGACCGTGAGTACTTTGAGAGCTTTTAATGTGTGCTCTGATTCGGTTAAAGTCCTTTCATTTCTTGTAGCTTCACCACTAACAACACACAACTCTGAGTCATGAACACACTGCAAATAATTTCAGAAATCCCGTAAGAATATTGAACTTTACCTTCACTTCAGGGTAATAAAAGACTGCCCATTTCTTCTGTCATACCCCCCTCCAAGCTGCTCCCTGCCAGCTGTGCTCAACAAACTACTTGTAGCAACTTATGTTTCTTAAACAAAGGCAAAGTAAGAACTTCCGTGGCACATAACATTTCCCTGAACATACATACCCTTGGTTAGTATGCGCTTCTCAAAACACAAGCTCTATGAAAACAGACCTTTCGTTCATCTACTTTTAACATTCCCCACGTTCTCACCTGGGCTGCACTTCCCACGGCTCAGCGATGCCGTTTTACTCCCGCTCCGCAAGTTATCAGCCAGGGATGCTTAGAGCACCCGGCCTGGAAACCAGCCCTCCACTTTCGGGAGCTGCTGACTAATTTCTAACCCAAACCAGAGCGTTCAGGTTCGCTCCGAGGCCACCGCTTTCACTGAGGCCCTTTCCCGAAACTCGGAAACAGCCTTCGGGAAGCCTAGAGCCGCCCACGGCCCATATACTTTGCGCTCCCAACTCCAGGCCTAAGCGGCCATTTCCGCCCCCCGCGGCAGCGCCAGGCCCCGGCCGCACCGCCAAACAGCGAGGGTCAACCGGGCGGCGCGTGGGACCACGGCCGCGCTCCCGGCCAGCATCGGCGGGGAGAGATCGGGAAGGAAGAGGAGAGGGAAAGCCCCTCGCCGCGGCGCCGCTCTCGCGGAGGCCGCCGCTGGACCTCAAGCACAGAAACCTGTCGGGATACATTCTTGAGGCCACCACGGCAAGGCCAGGAATGCGGCCGGGGGAGCCAGGCTCGGTTCAAGCATCCCGGTGCGACCCGTAAACCAGCAGCGGGGGGGGGGGTTTGGGGCGGACGAAGCTTCCTGCTGTCGCCTAGAGGGAGGTAAGGCCGGCCGTTAACGACAGTTAACGGCGCGGGAACGGCACACCCCCAGCCTCCCGGCCCGGTGCCACACTCACCCTTGGAGTAGAGGGATTTGGGAGACTCGAGGTCGAGATCAGCGCTGAGCAGAGAAATGAAGTCCGAGGGCATCGCAGCTCCGCGGCCCGGCAGGGACGAGGGGAGCGGCGGGAGGAGGGGACCGGGCAGGAAGAGAAGCGCTGCTGCCTCCGCTGCCCCGAGGTGGGGAGGGGAGACGCCAGCAGGCAAGAGCACGGCACTCCACGCGTCGGAACTACGAATTTGGCCGAGTCGAGCCACGCCGAGGACTCCACTCACCGTCGGGACCGGGCACCGCTACCCGCCACCGCTGACAAGAACCAGCTACTACCAACAGAACACGCCCAACAACCTTCCCAAACACCCACCCCACACCCGCGCAGACGCCAAGAAAAAAGGGGCGAGGTGTAGAGCGCGCACAGGGAACACCAGTGCTGCCAATCCGCGCATGCGCCTCGGCGGGCGGACAGGCACGGTGAGAAAGCCGCCACCACCAGCGCCGTACTACGCATGCGGAAAAAGGAGGCGGAGGTCAGAGGCTGGAGGTCGGCGGTAGGAAGAGCTGTCACGGTGGCGGCGGGGGGTGTGGAAGCATCTAGAAGGAGGTGGTGGTGGCTCCTGAGGGACCCTGTGGTGTTGAGGAGAGTGCGGCCCGCGCGGTAGTGGCCGTCACTGCCAGAAATGCAGCGCAGAGAGCTTATGATCCAAGCAAATTGCTCTGTGTTGTCCCCAATGAAGAAGCAGCTATTTCTAAGCAAACGGAATGCAAATAATAGAATCACAGTCACAGACTGGTTTGGGTTGGAAAGGACCTTATTAAAGCTAATCTAGTTTCAACCCCTGCCCTGCAGGGGCACCTTCCACTTGTGAAATATGAACTCACTCCTCTAAACGAAATAACAAGGTTTTATTGAGGGAAAAAGTCAATAAAACAAAAGCAGCAGCGCTGGGTGCATGACCGTAGCCAGAGGCGCAACTGATTAGTATTTTTTACAGGTTTATATATTTTCACTATTGTATTAGTCATATTCATATACTATTGTATTAGTCATATTCATAATTCCCACATATAGGCGGGGAATATTATAACTAGCTCCAGTGATACGCAGATAGACTCCACAACTCGTTAAAGTTCTAAAGTAGGTATGCTTTATTCAGTGCTGAGGCGCATGGGGATAGCTCCTCCAAAGGCATGAGTGCCTCAGTGTTGTTTCCCTCTACATTTATTCTCTAAAGTTATACATATTCATAAGGTTACATGATACGCCTATACATATTCATGTCCTATCCCCGCTTCGTATTATAATGAGCTAGAAGGTCCTTCACACCTGCGCAGTGCCCTGTCGCTAGTTGTGGGCGAGGGTCTCAAGATGAAGTAAATGAGTCTTCCTCTTGTGAGTAGGGGTCTTTAAGATGAAGTAAATGAGTCTTCCTCGAGCCTGAACTTTTTACCTCTAGCTGTCACGCATGCTCTCTAGGAATCTGGTCAAACTGCAAAGCTGGTTTTAATCAGTAAGCATGATAGGTGTTTGCTGAGCAAGCAGTACTTTTTTAAGCAAGGAGAATTCCTTTAACAGCCCCCCTGTACAAGCCCCCTTTATATTAACTAAACCTCTGTATCAGTACCCCCTTTTCTATAAAGTGAGTAAATTCCTTTACTCTTCAGACAAGTTCCTTGCGGAAGGTGTCTCTCAGCGCTTTACCATGTGCGTTTAACAGAGAAGTCAAACCCATTATGTGCTGTAACATTCGCCAGTTCCAAACAAATAATCCAATAGACAATACGAAATTAATACTAATATTAGAAGAGCAACAATAGGGTGACACAACATATTCAGCATACCAGTTGCAGTTGGTGACCATCCGAAAAGTACATCCCACCAATGGTGGCTTGTATCTTGTTCTACCCTTAATAAAACTCTGCGTATTTCTTCCGTGTCATGATGAACTGTAATTAAAGTTTTCTTTCAGTTTTCCTGGACCTCTTTTATTATGTTTATCAGGTCAGGATGTTTTGTTAATTGCCTCACCAACGTAAGGTTCATTCCAATGGGGGCAGGTGATAGCTTGTGGTATATTGTGTAACTGGATTTTATCAGTTGGTGGGATACAACTGGTGCTGAATACGTAAAGTCACATCCAACAATCTTAACAAAGTTACAAATACACAAATTAGAACGGTTCTTAGCAGCTATGATTTTGTTATTATCTATCTTGACAAAAGCACAAGCAGTTCGTAAACATACGCAGCCTTGGCCAATATATACAAGCACAGTTTTTTGAATAATATCTGGATGAACTTTGAAATGACAAATGCCTTGTTCTATATCAAGACATATGTCCTTAGCATTAATTGTGTTACTTTCACAAATGAATCGCTGTTGTTTTCGTGTAATACAAGACTCTAAATTTATAGTCTGCCATTTCTCATTTTCCTCCCGAGCCAGGGCCCACAACCTATGTTCAGAGGGGTATTGTTCCCTCATGATTCAACTCTAATGCAATAATGGGGTGAATAGTGTAAATTGTGGCATTACGTTTAGTGAGCACAAATGCTGTAGCCATGTTTGTAGTGGGGTCATAGATGAAATTTACTAGGGTCCACCAAGATTGGAGCTTTCTTTCCAGATCATTAGCATTATCCCAAACAACTTTTCAGAACTCAACAGGAAAAAACCCTTCACTTCCTTCCCTTATAATTAAGGCAGCTAATGATTGCATCCACAATTGTGCTTGTATATAACTAAGGGCCAGTGTCCTGGGTTTAGCAGCAGCAGTCATTTTTCTCCTTCTTGGTAGCTGGTGCAGTGCTGTGTTTTGACTTTCGGGCTGGGAACAAAGCTGATAAAAATGATGTTTTGGTTTGGCCAAGGACTTTGTGAGTCTCATGCTCTGCCAGGGAGGAGGGGAGGCCGGGAGGAAGCAGAGACAGGACACCTGACCCAAACTGACCAAAGAGGTATTCCATACCACAGCACGTCATGCCCAGGGGGGAACTGGGAGGTACCCGGAAGGACAGGGGGTCGGCCGGGTCGGACTGGTGGTTCGGCGCGTGGTATTGTACTCCTTTCCTTTGCTATTTTCTCTTATCATTGTTGTCGTTGGTGGTAGCGGTGGTGATTCGTATTGTACACTAGTTGCTAGACTGTTCTTATCTCAGCCCGTGGGAGTTGCATTCCTTCGATTCTCCTCCCCACCCCTCTGGGAGCGGGGAAAGGGGGCGGCAGCCCCTGGGGAAGGGGGGGGGCGGACTAACGCCTGGCACCACTCACTGGGAGTAAGTGAACAAGCTGTTTGGTTGGGTTAAACCACGACAGTTCTTTTTGGCGCCCAACGTGGGGCACGAGGGGTTGAGATAACGACAGATCTGACCATCACAATGCTGATTTATTGGGTCTCAGAGTTGTTCCTCTTGATCTCACAGCTTCAGAATGTTGTAACTTACTTAGAGCCGGTATTTGCTGTGTTAGTGTTTATCAAGTGTGGGGCTTGGGCTAAGGTTCCTGTCTCAATGTACTTTATGGCAATGACTTGTAATACGGGGGGGCTCCAGCAGCAGGGCGGGACGGACGTGGCCGTAGACTGGTCCCTGGCCGTCCGGCTGCTCCTCACCGTCCTGGCCCTCGCCCTCGCCTCCGTCTGCGTGAGGCTCTGGGAAGCCGAGGGGGAACGGTCCCGGGAGCCGGTGGCTGCTGAAGCGGCCCGGGAGAGCGGCCCCGGGGACCAAGCGGGAGCGGGACCGGAGGCCGCAGGGTACGGCTGCCGGTGGAGGAGGTCGGGGCGGTCGAGGAGCGGGAGGGGGCGGCTGCCGAGCAGCGGGAGAAGGCGGCGGAGGAGCCGAGCACCGCGAGGAGCCGAGCCCCGCAGAGGAGCCGAGTCCAGTGGCCGAGCCCAGCCCCGCGACGGCCGAGAGCATTCCCCGGAAGCCGCCCGCCGAGCCCCAGGAGGACGCAGGAGACCCCGCAGCATTTCCCAGCAAGGCAGAGGAGGAAGATCTGGACTCAGGAAAAGAGAAGCTGGTGGTGGGAGAGCCGGCAAGCACAGCAGCTACACCAGCCCCAGTGACAAGTACAGCAGCATCGCTTGAGAGTTCTGAAGGTTTTGAATGGCCTTTGGGTATCCTTGGGACCTGCCTGCTGATTGTGATGGGGATCAGCATGTTGGCACACACACAGAGTGTGTTTTACCCACCACCATTTTGTCTGATCTCAAAAGTTAAGCAGAGTCAGGTTTGGGTCTTGTCTGGGGTTAGACAACAATATGGGAGGACCAAGAGGTTTCCCCCAAGGCTGGACAGCCATGAGTGGCAGGGCATGTGGGACAGTATGGGCAAGTATCTAGTCCACTGGGCCCCTCCAGTGCTTTGGAAACATTGGAGATGGAAGGACAATGAATTATTTTGAACCTGGTGGGCCCATGACCCTTAAGGCCAACAGAGCAGAGATGCAACATAGAGATGGACTCATAATCGAGGGGTGGACTTAGCAATGGACACTATTGCCCAGGTTATTCACAAGTGTGAACACTGCACACAACCTCTTCTGTTACAAGAGATGGAGCCTGACATGATGGACCAGATGGACTCAGCAGCTTTATAGGGACTAGCACATGCACTAAGATAGAAGTGCACTGAGATAAGGGTGATGGTATATTGAAAATGTAGGATCTGAGCATGACGTGAATGGTATGGAATAAGGGGTGGATAATGTCCTGGGTTTAGCAGTAGCAGTCATTTTTCTCTTTCTTGGTAGCTGGTGCAGTGCTGTGTTTTAACTTTCAGGCTGGGAACAAAGTTGATAAAAATGATGTTTTGGTTTGGCCAAGGACTTTGTGAGCCTCATGCTCTGTCAGGGAGGAGGGGAGCCGGGAGGAAGCAGAGACAGGACACCTGACCCAAACTGACCAAAGAGGTATTCCATACCACAGCACGTCATGCCCAGGATGTAACTGGGGAGGGACCCGGAAGGGGCTAGAGGGGACTGCAGGGTTGGAGGAGGTATCGGTCGGTGCTTGGTCGGGCTAGGGGGGCGAGTTATCGGTTGCCTGGTGATGAGGTGTTGTATTCTCTTCCCTTGTTATTTCCTTTATCATTACTATTATTGGTGGTAGCAGTAGTGATTTGTGTTATACCTTAGTTACTAAACTGTTCTTATCTCAACCCATGGGAGTTGCATTCTTTCTGATTCTCCTCTCCGTCCCTCCGAGAGTAGGGGGAGGGCAAGAAGTGGGGGGGGAGTGAGTGAAAGCTGTCTGGTTGGGTTCAAACCACGACAGTCAGGGATACATTGTCCTGGGCCACGCCAAGCACATCTATTATCAACCTTTGGTCCTGTTCCTCAACCTTTTTCCATTT